AGAAACATCGATCAGCTGCCTCCTGCACACCCCCTACTGGGGATGTGCCTGCAACCAAGGTACATGCCCTTGACCGGAATCGAACCTGGGACCCTTCAGTCTGCAGGCCGACGCTCTATCCACTGAGCCAAACCGTTTAGGGCTATAACTTGTATCTTTAAAAGACTACTTCAGCAATAGGGCAAAGCTATAGTGAAGGCAGGAATACCAGTGCCAAGTCATTGTCATAATGGTAGACAAAAGATGTAGTCCCCCATTTTCCATGGCAGGGGATATCTTCCAAGATCCCCAGAGGATGCCTGGAGCCATAGAAAGTGCCCAACCCTATATATACTATGTGTTTTCCTATGCATACATCCCTGTGATAAAAATTAATTTGTAAATTAGACATTTACAACAGCAATAAAAGAGAACAATTATAACAGTACTAGAAGCCCGATGCACAAAATTTGTGCAAGGGTAGGCCTTCCTTCCCCCAGCTGCCAGCACCGGCTTCCCTCTGGCACCCAGGACCCAGGCTTCCCTGGCAGCCCTGGCTTCGTCTGGAAGGAAGTCTGGTCTAATTAGCATATTACGCTTTTATTATTATAGTGTAGAAAAACTATGTGGGTTTTCTCAAAATATCTTACTGTACTGTATTTACCTATTCCAGTAAAAGTGCTTTTGGCTTTACTTTGGCCTATACGAATTGCCAGTGTCACCACTTTTGCCCTTTGGGCCCTTAATTAAGTAAAACAGGTTACTTGAACACAAGTACCACAATACTGTGACATATCTGATACTAAGTGGCTAATGAGCAGGAGATAAGCCTAGGTATGCTGGACAGAGAGGGATGCTTCATGTTATGGGTGGGATCGAGTGGGACAGCACACCTTAAGAACTGCATGCGTCCCTAGCCGATTTGGCTCGGTGGATAGAGCAATCGGCCTGCAGACTGAAGTGTTCCAGGTTCGATTCCTGCCAAGGGCACATGCCCAGCTTGCGGGCTCGATCCCACAGTAAGGGGCGTGCAAGAGGCAGCCAATCAGTGGTTCTCTCTCATCATTGATGTTTCCCCCTCTCTCTCTTCCTTTCCCTTCCTCTCTGAAATCAATAAAAATATATTTTTTAAAATACTGCATGCAATTTAAAACAAGAATTGGTTATTTCTTGTCTTGAATTTTTCATTTAATATTTTCTGACTGGGTAACAAACTGCAGAAATGAAACCACAGCTAAGGGAAGGGATCACTGTAGTAAGATCTTGAGCTAAGGTAATAGGGGCAGTGGGCATGCCAAAGGAGAGTAGGATAATTCAAGAGATTTTAAGGCTCATTACAATTTGTAACTACTTTGAGGAGATGAGACAGTCACTGATGAGATCCTGATTTGTAACTACTATTGTCATTTCAGTTTTGGACATATGAGACATCTAAGTAGGAATATTTGTAGGCATTTGAATATATGTCCTGGAATGAAAAACATCAGAGCAAGACTCAAGAGTATGGGTCAGGAGATAAAAGCAGAAGATGGATCTGTGTGAATGTTAACACTTTAGGCTTGTCATAGTGGAAGAGTATAGACACTGAGAAGGAGCAACTTGGACTGATAGGAACAAAACCAGGGTAGAAGGTGTGGTGTCTAAAGCAGAGATTCAATATAAATCCTGGGTTTCTAAGATTTGGGTCAGTTTACTGATCAAAGTATTCCTTTTTTTTTTCTTTGTTGTATTTTCTGTTTGACAGTTTATGGTAAATTTGGTGGAGAATTTCGGGTTTTTTTGATGGCATAGCTTATTACTCTGAATTTTGTGGTTATACCAGTTTTTCCTCTTTGATTGTAGAATTTTAGTGTTACATTGTAACCTTGAAATATTTTCATTTCACAATTTTTTTAACAAATGAAATGAAATTTGGCTTTGCCTAAATCTCATCATTAGATTGCCTTTTCAGAAGCAGTCAGATAATGGCATTTGACTGTGAAACTTGGAATGAAGGCTTAAAAAACTTTTGGACTTGGATTTTATAAGAACTTTTTAGGATTATCTTTAAATTGTTAATTGTATGCAGTATAGACTAGATAGTACGAAAAGGAAAGAGTTTGGAGTACAAAAGACTTAGTTTAAATTGTTCTTTCATTTCCAATTTGCATGTTTCTTTGAACTTGATTTTTCATCAGTAAATTGATTTCTTTTAAACCCCAGGTATATCCTGTTCAATTTTCCTCTCTGTAACATATCTCATTGCATGTCTCTTTACCAGACTGTAAGTCCATCAAGATAAGAAATTGTTCTGTCTATCCCTTATACATGCCTCCTATATAGAAGGGAGTTAGATTAATTCAACTAGTACTTAATTATTTTACAGAGCGCTGTGGGTTAAATGAGCTATATTAAAGTGTCAGAACTATAGAAGTTTTTATTTGCCTAACACCCAGAATGGGCAAGTGAAAAAACTCATTTTACGCTATGTACATACTCTAGTCACTCTAAATTTTCAAATAACATCTTTGTCTATCCAAGGGCAATTAAGCAATTTTATATTTTCTATTACCTTAAAATCCTGACTCTGTCATAATTCTTTGATTGGTGTTGATCAGTGGTTTTCATAAGATCTGGATTTAAATCTTGGTTCTGTGATACATTATTTGTGCACTTGAGAATTTTAAATTCCTTCTTTAAGCCCCTCTTTATTCATCCATAAAATGGGGGACAGTGATATCTTTTTCTTGGTATTGGTTAAATTAATGTAAAGTCCTAGCAAGTAGTTTCATGCACATGTTGCTTCATACTAATGTATGTAATATTTATTTGCTAAGGGAGTTCTTCACAATCAAATTCTAATAAGCAAAACAACAAAGGAGAAAGAATACTGCTATAACTTGAAAATTTGTTTTCTGTTGAAATGTAAGAACAAATCCACATTGTTTTCCAAATCTAGTAATCCTGTGAATTGATTTGCTGTGGAGAATTCAGTATGCTTTTGAAGAAAAAACTTCCATGGTGTTAAATGAGAAATTTGAGGGGCCAATTTGGAATTAAACTGTCTTTAAAAAACCTATTTATTTCTGTTATGCTTCTAGTGAAGGTAGTTGTATGTTACCTGCAATAGCTAACATTTTGGTTTGCCCGTGGCCAGGATGATACAAAACCATTTGTGTGTATATTACTATCATTCTACAAATGTAAGAATTTATTTTCAAATTATAGTTTGTTTAATAATATTGCATATTGACTTTATTGCTAAGTATACTTTTGTGAAAATCAAGACCTAGAACATTTGTTTCTGGATAAATTTTTAAATTCTTTGGTGACTTATGTAAAATGGGATTTAAGTAAATTAGCATTCATGGTTCTATAGTAAATTTTGATTGTTTTTCCTTGAATATGAGCTGGATTTTAGGTAATTTAGCCTTTTATTGCAGTGTAAGTAGTAGGTAATTTTGTTTTGTTATTAGAGAAATGCTTAGAAAATAGAAGTGTTACATTTGGATTATTTAACAGTAATGTTTTAAGTATCAGTTAAGCATATTTTTTTCCCCACAGAATGACAGCCCATATCAAGGTGGTGTATTCTTTTTGACAATTCATTTTCATACAGACTACCCCTTCAAACCACCTAAGGCAAGTATCTCCGCCCCCCCCCCCCCAAAAAAAATCTGTTAGTGTATAGATTTATATTTTATTTCAGAGGAATAGAGCATTCTTAATAATAGAGAACAGACTGACAGCTGTCAGGGGAGGAGGGTTATCTGGCTGGGTGGAAAAAAAAAGGTGAAGGAATTAAGAAAAAAAAAAATCTTGTAGGCACAGACAACAGTATGATGATTACCAGATTACCAGAGGAAAGTGGGGATGGGAGGAGGTAGAAGAGAATATAGGAGGGATAAATGGTAATGGAAAGAGACTTGGGATGGTGAACACATAAGACAATATATAGATGTTGTATTATAGAATTGTACACCTGAAACTTAATATAATTTTATTAGCCACTGACACCCCAATAAATTCAATAAAAAAGGAAATTAGGGTTTTGCATAATTAAGGCTAAAATTGATTTATGTTATATATAATGGATAAGAATAATTGAGGCTGAACATATATATATATATTAAATTGAGTCATTGATAAAGAATGCTGACTCTTAATCTTTAGTTAAAACAGAAGCTAGACCTGGATTTGAATTTTGTAAATGGAGGTAAGGAATACCTTATCTTTAATGTTGTCAGGCTCAAATATGCTATGTCGGATTCCCCCCCCACCCCCCCTTTATTATTTTTATACAGATTTGGATTATTAACTCTACTATCTTGTAATAGTAGGTTTCTGGTGTTCAGTTACAGAATCCTTGTGCACATATTGCTGCAACTTATACTATCACTGTGTTGGAGTTTAGGCAGAGTATAATTACTTTCGGAATTTGAGTTTGCGTACATAACTAAATAACTATCAAAACTTAGAGTTGCTTAATGCACTGACTGAGGTGGGCTGGTTTACAGGTGTCAAAACATGCTCCTTTACTTTTCAAAGCAGTTGATATAAATTCAACCTATGCAAATAACTATAGAAGATAATACACATATAGAACATTGACACTTCACTATGACCATCTTCATCATCATCTTATGGGTGCAATATGACATTTACTTTAGATGAAACACCTAGGTGATATTCAAAGGTATATACTGTATTTTATGTACAGTGGAAATGCAAAGTCAAATCTATACCTTTGTAACTTGATACCTTAAATTAGCTGGTCTATAAATTTTGGTTTACAATCAGCAATTTCTTTATTTTTTAATGAGTGTTAAAATAAAAATACCCTTCAAGTTACTCTTTGATACTTATGACATGGTAGGACCAAAGATAACCTTCGGAACATTCACTATACTATTGAGACTACAGTGGAACCTCATTTCTTGAACATCTCCCATCTCGAACAATTCACTTCACAACATGATAACCCTTTCATGCTGATACCTGTATGATTAGTCACACATCTTTCAAGTTACAAAGAGAATATGCACTCAAATATGAGTTAAAATCTCAGGATATTATTTATACTGTGAATATTTGTGTGCTTTTTGCTTATAATTGTTAAATTTTCATTTATTGTACATTTCCTTTGTTAAATTTTCATTTATATTTCATGTCCTTTTTGTTTTTTTTAAGTGTTTATTTATAGATTAAACAGTACAATAGACATGTACTGTATATAATAAAGGTTAAAATGGAATCATTTGAGGCTCTGGGACATATTAATTTAATTTACATTATTTCTAACAGGAAAAAATGATTCTGTTTTCGAACAGCCTACCAGAATGAATTAATTCGAGAAACGAGGTTCCACTGTAATACTCTTGCCCCAAAGTTATATTTTCCATTTTAATTAAAAAAGAGGAAACTCCTGAAGGATTTTTGATCAGAATATAAAAATCAGTTTCTATAATTTTTGGTCTTTTTATGTATATAAATTAGGTTTTAGCGATTTGATTTTTAAAAACTGTGATAATATTTTAAGCCTTGCTAAAAGTCTTCTACAGAACCTCTACCTAAGTTAGGATGCTTGTTTTTATTTAGGAGAAATGCCTAAAGGTTTTTTATTTATTTTAGGTTGCATTTACAACAAGAATTTATCATCCAAATATTAACAGTAATGGCAGCATTTGTCTCGATATTCTAAGATCACAGTGGTCTCCTGCATTAACTATTTCTAAAGGTAAACTAAAGGAATTGTCTTGAACTGCTCTGATTTTCTAATAGTTAAAGGAGTTTTAGTTTTGCACCTACTTGTCTGCGTATTATGCTGACTTTGGTAAGAGATGGGGAAGGAATAAGTTACATCATCTTTGCTCTTTTTGCATTATTGATTAAAGAGATTTGTGGGAAGAAGGTAAAATTCAAATTAGGGTGTTGGGGCATTGTTTTCAAATAATAAAAGCAAAGTGATTTCTGTAGTATTTTTCAATCTTAAACTACTTGTACTTCTCGCTTACTTACTTGCTGTCTTTGAACTAAAATGGCATACCTAAATTTAATAGAGCTTTTAAATTTTGAGGTTTCCAGTACAAGATAATTTTGATTTTGCTGTTATGTGTTTATTATTTAAGATTAAAAAACATTTTGATAAACCTTTATTAAGCCCTTTAAAAAAAATTTAAGGTATGTGTTATGAGAACATGATAGTTTGTTACTACTTAATAACAGTCGAAAATTAGAGAATCTTCTTGGAAATCTCTCTAGATCAGTTCTGCTTTTCTACCTTTAATAGGGATTTATTATGTGACATCTCTGATAGGTTGTCTGGTCTTTGTATGAATATTCTAGATGGAGATATGGAGTATCTCTCCATCTTTATCTCCTTTTTTTTATCTCACTTTTCACCCCACAGATAAAAATCACCTACCACAAAACTACTTAATGGGAAGGAAGTCTGCCTTCAAGTAATTTTCAGTTTTTGGTATTGGCTTAGCATTCCTTAGGTACACAAAATTAGGTTTTTAATGTTGTGAGTATGATAAATGCAAACTGAAACAGGATTTAAGATAGGATATCATAAATTTTTTTCATATGTTTGTTTAATGCATTTGAATCTCCTTAAGGGGTAGTACAGGATTTCTCAAACTTTTGACTAGAATCACTTTTGGGGGAGAGAAGAACAATTTGCTGCCATAATTTTTTCAAGTGTGACCTAATTTTAAGACCTGTTTTCACCGTCTTGGAGGCATTTCCATTTTCTTTCAAGTTAGGCTCTCTTACCCACCTGGTACCTGGTATTTTGATTACCTTAAATAGTAGGTTCCAAGTTTTTTGCCATTGCTGGGAATGCACTATTATATTGAACATTATGTTTCTGTAAGTACAGGCTGAGTTTTATATCTGCTCTCTTGCACTTAGGTTTAAAATTATATTTTCTGTAATATATTACATTGATTTTTTTTATGGCATTTTCTTTGTCTTCATCTAAAGATTGTCATACCCACTTCAAGTTTTTATATCTGAAAATTGCATAACACCTTGCACAATGTCTGGCACATCCTAGGCATTTAAAATGACAGATTCATGATGCTTGGCATCTTCCATGTTGAATAGGATAAGGGTAAGAGTTAGCATTGAAAGCTCATTTAGTAATAGACCACGGTGTTGTTTCATTTAGTCCGTACTTTTAGGTATGTGGCCTCTCTACCTTGTAAAGTCAAGGGAAGAAAACATATAGTCATTGGAGCAGTTAGGAGTTTTTGTGAAACTTCTTAAGGGGAGGGCAGGATAGAATGGATTTTTTTTTTTAAATTATACTGTACAGCTAAGAATAGTAGGGTATGGATGTTCCCCAAATATATTCTTATTAAAGCTATTTTTCTCCCTCAGTACTAAGAAATTCTAGTGACTTAAATTCTAATGCCACCTAGTTAAAGAATAACAATGGCATTATTTGACTATCTTGGAACTCTGGAGTTTGGCAATATTTTTATAGCTAGTACTAAACCCAACAAAGCTCTATTTTTAGCATGTTTTTTTTTTTACCAGAACCTTGTCTCCTGTGAAGCAAAATATCTGTAAATATTTTTCTCATTAAGTTGAAGATATAAACTAATAAAAATCTTTTGAAGATTTAGGTTTATAATTGCTTTTGATTTCTAGTTTCATACTGTTGTGGTCAGAAAAGATGCTTTATAAAGTTTCAGTCTTGAATTAATTGAAACTTGTTTTATGGCCTACAGTGTACCTGTCCTAGAGAATGTTCCATGTACACTTAAAAAGAATGTGTATTCTGCAGTTTTTAGATGAAATGTTCTTAAGTATATGTTAAGATCATCTGGTGAAATGTGACATTTCAGGCCATTGTTTTCTTACTGATTTTCTGTCTGGATGATCTATCCTTTGATGTAAGTGGGTATAGTAATGTTTTTAAATGCACTTTTAAAAATTCAAAATCCTGATGCTGGGTAACCACATTTGTTTTCTTGCAGTTCTTTTATCCATTTGTTCACTGCTATGTGATCCAAACCCAGATGACCCCCTAGTGCCAGAGATTGCACGGATCTATAAAACAGACAGAGATAAGTAAGTATGTAGTAGTTTGTAATTTTTCTGAATGAGTTAGGTTTATACTCTGCTGTAAGTTGTGGCAATGCCAAGAAGACTTGATGCTAATTTCTGGTAAGATGATAGTCATTAGTAGGTTTTAGTTATGTGACAGTGAATAATAGCCCCTCTAAAATGTTTTATTTTCTAACATGTTCAACACTTTGTCACTTTAATTATTAAGTTTTGGGGAAGAAAGCAAATTCTTCACCACAATTATGTTTTGAAAATAATATTGGTACTATTTTAAAACTTTGGTCTAAATTTCTCAAATATCTGAAATATTTTTATGTACAACTTTACCATTATAATTTTTGTATTTATAATTAATACTAAGTATACTTGTTCAATTAGGTACAATAGGTTAGCAAGAGAGTGGACAGAGAAATACGCTATGTTGTAGGGTAAGAGGATCTGCACTCTATGGTGCGCTTATTCATGGTACTGCCAGCACTTGAGTGCTGCATGCTTTAAGGCACTGTATTAACTAACAAACGGTAACCAATGTGGCAGTTTTCTGAAAACGGTTCTTTAACTGCTTGATCTCTGTTTAGCGTGAAAGAATACCCAGTAGTTATTGCTTGAGAGTATTTTTGCATGACAAAGTAGTTTATATAGCACTAGTAAGAAATGGAAATTTAAATAATAATCTTTCAAACCTCCATGGTGTTTACATTTTAAAATTGGTATATTTTAAACTTTGTACCAATAATGTATGGAATGTGATGATGTAGTTTAGATTTTGCTGAGATAATAATGTAAGGGGGAAAACTTTTAATTAAGCCTATGCCTTTAATTAAGCCTATGCCTATAAACTAAATGTTCATTACTGACATGCATGCAGTAGTGTTAGCTCTACTTTGTGGCTCCCTATATGCTAAGTGAAACCTTTGTTTAAAAGTGCTGGCTTTTTGAGAGGGTATCCTTAAATAAAAGTAACCATGAATTGGTATAAAGAACTTCTATATGTTAAAGTTGAGAAAAGTGCTTGAACCATGTTTAGTTCTTGTTGAAATGAAGATAGTTAATACTTTATAAAGTTCAAAACTGTAAATATCTAAAAGTTCTGTGCCCTTTGACATATATTCATTTCTTTAGGTTATCATTATGTTTTTTGTTGCTAAGTAAGACTATGGAATGGGTGTAATGGAGAAATTGATGGCATTTATCAATATTAGTGATCTTCCTCAGCGTAAATAACCTTGCTTTTGTGTGAATTACCTGTTGATTTTTTTTAAGCGAAGTTATTTCCAGTATTACCTAGAGATTCCAATTCATCAGGTCTCAAGTGAGGCTTGTTATCTCCAGTCACCGCACTATTTGAAAATAACCCACGTGGTTCTAATTGACACATACCACTCACACCCACCTCTTGAAAACTACTCTTTTACCATCCTCTCCAATGTCTTAATCTTCTGCCTGTGCTTAAGTCTTAAAGGCATTTTCTGATATTACTCGGGGTCAAAGTCTAGGATTTGAATAAAATGGTTTAGTTAACTGTTTTGTTCTGGCTTTGATGGAAATTTCTATAGATGTACAGAATGTGTGTGCTGTTCTGACAACTCCACGATGAACTGTAAACTTTTTTAAATGTTAAAATTAGTTGGAATGGATACTAATTGTAGATTTTCTATGAGAACATTAGCTCAGTTGGTAGGGCAGATAAAAGGTCTTTGATTTTTGTTAGCTTCCCCAATCTCAGTGCCACTTTGTTGTGTTTATTAAAATACTACGTTTAGTATTTTGGAGGCATAAGGTTCTTATTTTCCACAGTGCTTTGAATACCAATACTATTTCTCCCTGTTGGCTTTATTCTAATCACAGCCATTAGATGACTTTAAAATGAGTCTGGAGGTAAAATAGAAGTCTTTCCCTTTTAAGTATTAATTCTTTAACTTTTTAAATAACATATTCTTTGTTTACAGGTACAACAGAATATCTCGGGAATGGACTCAGAAGTATGCCATGTGATGCTACCTTAAAGTCAGAATAACCTGCATTATAGCTGGAATAAACTTTAAATTACTGTTCCTTTTTTGATTTTCTTATCCGGCTGCTCCCCTATCAGACCTCATCTTTTTTAATTTTATTTTTTGTTTACCTCCCTCCATTCATTCACATGCTCATCTGAGAAGACTTAAGTTCTTCCAGCTTTGGACAATAACTGCTTTTAGAAACTGTAAAGTAGTTACAAGAGAACAGTTGCCCAAGATTCAGAATTTTTTTAAAAAATGGAGCATGTGTATTATGTGGCCAATGTCTTCACTCTAATTTGGTTATGAGACTAAAACCATTCCTCACTGCTCTAACATGCTGAAGAAATCATCTGAGGGGGAGGGAAATGGAGGCTCAGTTGTCGCATCCAAGGAAACAGCATTATTCTAGCAGCATCCATTCTTGTTTAAGCCTTCGACTGTTAGAGATCTGAGGTTACATGATATACTTTATGCTCATAACTGATGTGGCTGGAGAATTGGTATTGAATTTATAGCATCAGCAGAACAGAAAATGTGATGTCTCTTAGGCATGTCAACAAAGGAATGACCTGTTCTTATTCTACTGAGAATGGAAATTGGAAGTCAAACATCCTTTGTATTCCCAAATAGGGTCTCAAACATTTTGTGATTGCCATTTAAATTGCCAGGAGGCTTGGAGCTATTAGTTAATCTGTCTTCCAATACACTGTTTAATATACCACTGAATAAACGATGCACGTTGTCAATGGATGAGTGATCAACTAATAGCTCTGCTAGTAATTGATTTATTTTTCTTCAATAAAGTTGCATAAACCAATGAGTTAGCTGCCTGGATTAATCAGTATGGGAAACAATCTTTTGTAAATGCAAAGCTGTTTTTGTATATACTGTTGGGATTTGCTTCATTGTTTGACATCAAATGATGATGTAAAGTTCAAAAGAGTGAATATTTTGCCATGTTCAGTTAAAAGTGCACAGTCTGTTACAGGTTGACACATTGATTGACCTGATTTATGCAGAATTAATAAGCTATTCAGATAGTGTAGCTTTAATATGCTGCACATGATACTGGCAACCCTGGAGTTCATAGATGGACTGGGGACCCAGCAGTTTTAAACATGTATATGGAGTTGAAGAAATTTATTTTCCAGGTGCAACCCCCATCTAACTAAATTTTTCTTCACCTTGTACACTTGACAGCTAAAAAAACCATAACATGGGAGTAATAATGGGTTTAAATTTACAAAATAAAGTACTGTTTGGTGTGGGAGTTGTCATGAGGCTATGTTGAAGTGACTTAACTATGTGGGATATTGAGTATCCATTGAAATGGGTTTGTTCAGCCATTTACATTAATGAGCATTTAAATGCAACAGATATCATTTCAGGTGACCTAACATGAATGAATAAAAGTCAATGCTATTGGATAATTTTTCGTTTGACAAGTGCTATGTGTGCCACTAATTTAACTTCTGTAGCAACAAGGGCATTATCATTCTTCACCCTTCCTAATTCTGACCATATAGTTTTACCCTTTTCCTAGTTATTTTGATTTGTCCATTGCTTTCTTACAATCTGTATCCGATTTCTAGCACGTCTGACCTTTCTCCACTTACACATTTTTGCACTGCTTACACTTATGTGCAATATTATTTCTTGTCTGCACACATGTGGAAAGCTAGATATAAAATAAATGTTAAAGCTTGATTTTTATAAACATTTTAATATGTAGTTTGGACATGATTTATTGACTGAGATTCTCTAAACTGGAAGTGAAATGCATGCCTTCTGAACATGTTCTGGCTTTGTTAATTCTGTAATAAGCATTTCATTGAGAAATATCAATCTAACGACAATTTTTTCCAATGAGTGATTTTTTTAAATTTAATTTTTTTGCTTAAAAATTGACTCCTTAAGGGTAGGTGTCATACATTTAAAACTTTTGGATTCAAATTACAAATGAAAAGTTAACATACTGCTCTCTACAAGCTAAGATACACTGTCCTTTGGCTCTATTTTCAAAATATTTACTTTTGAGAATCTACTCTCAAAATAACAGCTTTAGTGGGCATATTATTTGAAAGCCAACCATCAAACACCTGCTGTTGGATCGCTAATTGGCTTTCAGATTGACCTTCTTAGCCATAGATAACTCTTAAGTACTTATAGAGATGACTTTCTTACACCATTGATTGTTTAACATTAGATGTGTCCAGTTCTCTGTATCTGACTTGATTTCTACAACATTTCTATGTCACTTCTAAAGGAATGAGCCATAAAGGCTTCTCCAGGCTTAAGAGAACAGTAAAGTACATACCTGGAAACCAACATTTTTGAGTGTATGGACACTGGACTTGAGATCATCTCCAATGAAACCTTTAAAAGAATCCAAGAATTTGCCCTTTTATTCCCATTTACGTTACTAGTGCCATGTGTAGGACTCACGTGAATATGGGCAGATTAAAAAATGATTTTGGTTCTTGTATATTTCCTATATCTTTTAATGCACAAACTCAAGTAGTTTCTGTAACCTATGAGAATTACAGTCCAGTGGACTTGCTAATAGTAAATTATATTGTGAGTGGACTCATTTTTGTTCCTGGGCAAGTTGGCAATGTGATACTCAGATTTTTTTTTAGAAATTCTAGTTTGCTTTCTCGTGTGGGTGTACTCACAATTTTTTAAAGTATGAATCACAACTAGTGGTCTCAGGGGTAGTGAACACTCACTTTTTTTTTAAAATGGCTTAGTTGAAATATGCTTCAGATACTTATGCTGTATTAGTGATTTGGGGGGTGACTCAAATTAGCCATGTTTTGTATTGGCATAACAAAGCTGTTAAATGATTGTTGGTTACACTTTTAGGTGAATTTGTCTTCTATTTTATGAGGAACCCAGTGCAAGTCACTAAATATTGTCTAGTAACATCTGCATAACACTTGTAATAATAGCTAAGGTTAATTGAGCTTAAAGGAATTGTTACCATTAAAGTCTGTTTAAAGACACTTTGGTCTTACTCAGTAATTCCAGTTAACATGAAATTCACACTTTAACCTAATATTGTTTGTAAATTCTGTTTTGAACTTAGAAATTAAAAGTATAAAGAATTTAAGATAGTGATTCTCAAAAAGTGATCCCAAAACCAGTAATACCAGTATCATCTGGGAATTTTTTTTTTTTTAATCTTCCCCTGAGGCTATGTTTCTATTGATTTGAGAGAGAAACATTGGCCAGTTGTCTCCTGCAGGAGTCCTGACAGGATTAAACCAGCAACCTTTTTGGTGCACAGGACAATACTCTAACCAAGCCACCCAGCCAGGGCCATTTGGGAAATTCTTTACAATGGAAATTTACTAGATGCCACTGCAGGACTATTACTGATTGAGAAACCATGGAGTGGCACCCAGTAGCCTGTTTTAAACCAAACAGATTAATTCTGAAGTTTGTTCCTAGCTCTCTCCTTTATAATAATTCAGTAATCCTTAGACCCTAGAGTTATTTTACAACTCCTATTTCATGGCTACAAGGACTTAGATTGTATGCCCAAGTAGTACATTTCCATATAATTGACAAATTTGTACTTGGAATTACAAATAATATTGTAGGCTGATTGACACATTTAAAATAATATACTGCAATTAATCTGAGTAACAAACATCCTGACATTCAAATTCATAACTAAGACCTTGGGGGAGCGGCAGGGCGGTATAAGTAATTCAACCAAGGTCTGGATAGTGTTGAAAAAGAGCAACCAGGTACAAAAGTGCTAAATGTTGGTTATCTAGCTGAACAAGGATTTGAACCCTGGCCTCATTCTGTGGTTTTTACATCAATTTTTTTTTTTTAAACTGCAAAAGTGAGTTGTCATGTTAGGGGTGTTTGCAGTGTTACTGAAATTAACATTAAATATCGCTTAAGACAGTTGGTAAAACCTTTCAATGTAATGGGAAAAGTAAATGGTAAAGGTGTTCAGAAATGGGATTTAAAAGCATGGCAGCTTCTGCCCTGCCAAGTGATGGAGAAACTTAAAAAATCAAAACCACAGTTTTCTAGAAAGGCTAGAAAAGATTGAAGTTGGCTGAACACTTGTTTTCTTTAGGACTTTAATAATGACCACTTGCATTATTTTCTGCTAATCTATAAGTACTTTGTTGCCTCATTTTGAAGAATTTTTTATAATTAACTCTAGAACAGTGCTTCTGATAATTATCTCCAAGTTGTACACTATTTCTAGATGAACTTTTTATTTTGAGCCCTCTTGATTTTTTCGTGTATTGTAGGAAATGGTTTTATGAATAACACTTTCATTTTTACATTTTATTGTCTGAGACTTTGTGTAATCTCGATTCCTTGTTTATCATATCAAATTTAAATGTCAAGGCCAAACAGTGGGAGTACTTTTATGCTCTATTTACTTAACACAGTTAACCAACTGTCATTTGCTGACCTCCCAGCCATCTCTCCTGAACTGCTACCTGAAAGGGTACCTTTTAGATGTCTAAAGCTGACTTGATATCTACATACAGACATGTACACATGCATACTTGTTCTTGGCCTCAATAAATGACATTCAGTTGCACTGGCCCCAAAACTAGGCATCAACCTTGATTTCTCCACTCCTGTCAGTTCTACTTCTAAATTTTATTCAGGACCTACCTGTTTACCATATTCACTGCTGCACAATGGTCTAAAGCTCCACCATCTCAGATTATTGCAATAGTTTACTGGGTGGTCTCCCAAATTCTTCCTTCACAGCAATCTACCACACATAACACCCGGCATAATCCTTTTAAACAATGTCATATCATCCCTTTGCTACAAACCTAATGGTTTCTCATTCAGAGTAATAGCCAAAATATTAATAGCAATTTACAGGCTGTATTGACTTCCCACCACTTAATTTCTAATCACTGCTTGCCTCCACACCTTCCCCAACTCCCTCAGCTGTCACACAGGCCTCTGCTGAGACTTGAGATGTTTGCCCTTGTTCTTCCCTTGCCTAGAATTATCTTAACCTTAGATATCATATGGCTATCTCCTAATTGTTAGGTCTCTGTTCAAATGTCAACTTAGAGTGGCTTTTGACTATCCTATAGCCTATATAATAAAAGGCATATGCAAATTAGCCTGGTCTGGGAATTTGACCAGGGGGTGGGGCTGGGCAGCCAACTGCCCACGGCCCCTCCCAACCGGCCCCAGCCCCCACCGGCTCCCCCAACCCCGTTTGGGGTGGGCTGGCCAGACCCCACCAGTGCATGAATTTGTGCACCGGGCCTCTACACTGAGGGGCCAGATTATTATGACCACCTGACGTTTGTAGGCAAATTAGCTATAATTTTGTGCTGAAGTTGCTAGAGGGCCAGATCATTATAAACGTCTGAATAGCACAACATACCTAAGTTTCATTGCTGATCAAGTTCATCCTATCATGTTGATGGTGTATCCCAATGGAGATGACTTCTTCCAACAAGACAATGTGCCATGCCACGGTGCTCGCATTGTGCAGGAGTGGTTTCAAGAACATGAGGGAGACTTTACCTTGCTTAGGACGCCTCCACAATCACCAGATCACAATCCAATTGAGCATTTGTGGGACGAAGTTAAAAGAGCCATCAGGCAGCTGGTTCCACAACCATCAAATCTCACAGAACTGGACAGTGCTATTCATCAGGCATGGTGTCAGATTCCTCGCATCACCTTTCAACATCTCGTGGAGTCAATGCCAAGAAGAATCGCCGCAGTATTGAAGGCAAAAGGTGGCCCAACGAAGTACTGATGGGATGGTCACAATAATCAGGCCAGTCATAATAATATGGCCAC